TTACTCCAAAAAAATTTAAAATAATATGAAAATATTTTTATTAAAATACTTTTATAAAAATATAAATTTATAACTTCCATAATATTATACTAATTGAATAATATTATACTAATTGAATTCATGATGCAAATGTTATGGAATGACAAATTTCTTTGAACCGAAGGTAGTACACCGATACTTGATATACAAAGTGACAAATCACTTGAAGTTTCACGACATTATGGAAGTTATATGATTGATTGTCAATTGTCATCTAAGTCAAGAATTTTGGTATTATTTTGAGCACATGCTACGATAAGTTTGGAAAGATATACTCCCTCCGTCCCAGAATGAACTTCGGTTTTGACTGGGCACGGAGATTAAGAAAGTGGGAAATGTGTGGTGGAGAGTTATGCAGAGGAGAGAGAAATGTGTAAGAATGGTTGTGAACCACAAATCCTTTGCTAAAAAGGGAAAGAAGAGATAAATTTGGGACGGACCAAAAAGGAAAGAATGAAGATAATTATGGGACGGAGGGAGTATAAAGGTCTTGTGTTGATAATCGGCTGTTAGCGGTTTCCGTTTAGCTGGTTGTGATGTAGTCAACAATAGCTAGTTAGGTTTGTTGTTTTAGTTGACTAGTAATGTTAGCGTTTTGTAAAGAACTGTTAGATAAAATTAGTCGTTTGAACTAAAGACATTACTTACATGGTTCAAATTACTCATACTTTGAAAGTTATACTTCCTCCGTTCTTTTTTAGTTGCAACTGTCAACATTTCACAATTGTCAACGCACGTCTTTGACCATAATTATATCTTAATCTCTATTAGTAAAAAATATTTAAAAATTAGATTTTGAAAATTTGTAATGAGATGAATTGAATAATATTTTTTTAAAATAATAATTTTCATAAATTAATAACATAAAATGTAGTCAAAGTAGAACATGTGAATAGTGTAAAATTCAACATGTTGCGATTAAAAAGAGACGGAGGATAGTATTATAAAAATAAAATGACACCACAAATTTACACCACAAATCATTTGCACAACAGTTGTTATATTGGCTAATTGTTTGTAGTCCCATAAATTCGTCACCCAAAGCCTCCACAATAGAGCTTTTTCATTAGAATATAAACAAATTCACAATTAAAGAAAACTTAGAAATTAGGCTTCAATCAAAAGATTAACGAATAAAATTTATGAATATGCACAATTCATGATTTCACAGGTGTAACAACATGAGTTCGACTGATGTAAAAATGAATTCATGTGGATTGTTAATTAGCCAATTCTGAGCAACTAAAACACAACACTAACACAACACTAACACAACACACAAGATTCTATTTGGTTTCAATGGGAGAATAAGATGGAGCACCTAACAACGCATCTTCACAGATCAAGAACTACGAGATCAACCCCCTCATTTTGGGTTGACGGAGGGATCATATAATTCGAGTCTTTTTTTTTTTTTTTAATAAATAACTTATTTCTTGGTTTTGGACCCCCTCAGTAACTTAACTACATAAGTTCCATGGAATGTGTCTATTTCTCTATCTCTTGACTAAAGGAGCGGGTTTGAAAAAGGATCTTCGAGTGAAGGCCTAGGGGTAGAAAATTAAAATGGGCTTAAAGTTACAAAAAATTTGTAGAACTCTTTTCTATCTAAAATGAGTTAAATGACATGCATAATAATTATAATTATAATAATATTTCAAGATATTTATAAAAAATTATAAAGCCATATTCTGTCTAAACCAATCATATTATAGTATTGATGATCCTTATTTAGGAAGGAAACAATGATAATCCTATTTGTACACTTTACTAATGTTTAAGTCATTTATTTAAGGAATTAACTCTATTATTATCACATCCTAATTCCTAAACCCCCTCCAATGATGCAATCATTCTGAATTATTTCATTTCCAGTAACAAAATTATTGTTCTTCCCTATGTATTCTCATCTTGAGAAGGACATTCAGAATTTGACTTCTTTACACAAACAAACTTTTCCGTTTGAACTTTTTTTACTTATCGCCGCTTTCTCTAATCTTCTATTCTTTTGTATTTAATTTATCGTATTCAGATTCAATCCTTTTTATTGCACATCGAAATTAATTAATTTTATAGATTTTATCATAATTTAAAATGTTTGTCTAACAAAATCAACAAGTTATAACACCAACACTCAATAGAAAACACTCAACAATTAAGAAATCAAACAACAGTGAATGGAATCAATTAATAAACTAATCAAATAATCATATCATACTAATCTGCTTTCGAGTGGAATTTCTTTATGAAAATCTAAGAGAATGTTTTTCATCAAATGTAGATTATGTCCATAAAATTTCAGCTTAAAAAGCAATAGTGGAGTCAGTTAAATAAATTAATGAAACACAATGCGCCAAAATATGTATAAAAACGCAGTGTTTTCAATAATGTATTTAGTTGACTTCTAAATTAAACTTTAAACTGATTTTTTTCTTAGATACTCTAAACTTCATAGAGAACATGATCATAGTTTCGCTAAAAAACATTCCAAAGAGCTTCAACAAATTCCACTCGAAAAATTGTTAGTTTAGGGCCGAAAAATAAGCCTACTCATACATGTTACAAAGAACTAAAGTTGGGCCTATTTTTTACCCATTTTTTGGGCCTAGGGCGCCCGCCCGCCTTGCACCCCCTAGGGCCGCCCCTAAAAAGAGCTAAAAGACGGCCGATCAACCATTATCCAAACAAGGCCAAAAACATCAAAGAGCTTTTACATAGATTATTTAAAAAAACCTAAATAATGAGTAAAATATATTTTTATTCGCTAAGTAATATTAAAATTGTGATGTTTGAAAAATACTTCCAATTATGACAGTATATTACCATATTTAAAGTCTGATAGTGTCAACATATGACAATAATTTTTAAGTAATACAATACAGTTCTCCTATTTATGGCGAAAGCACAAACTCCATTTTGGAAACTACATTGTTTTTACTCCTATTAGATTAGATATGAAACATGTTCTCAAGATATGACTATTGGAAAAATGTGTTGAAATTACATTAAATGGTCGATTTGGGGCAGTATTTTGAGTGGGGTCCACTTCTGATTTGGGTCGGGTCAAAGTGGTTACGGATTCACCTTGCTAAAGGCTACAATTCATTATGTGGCACACTCAAAACGGATAACGGGTGAATGAGAAACTGATTTTTGAAATTCACTCGTTGAAATGGAAAAACTGGGAAAATGATGAATTTATAATGTGATTTATCCCACATCGGAAAACCCAAGTGATTTTTACCCCCATATCGAGGTGATCCTCTTTGAAAAAGTTAAGATTGCTAGGTGGAATGACTCTCTTCACGGGCAGGGGGATGCCGATCAAATCTCGAAAATGGAGAAGAAAAAATTACGGCTTGCGTGCGTGGGCGACCTACTAACACAAATGCCGTCCGCAAATCTATCTTACAGAGATATGATTTAATTTTTTGTTTCTTCCCGTAACGTTCTTAGGATGTTTTTACTTGGACTGTAATTTGCTGGTCTGGTCTGGTCTGGTCTGATCTGGTCTGGTCTGGTCTGAACTGGTCTGGTCTGGTCTGGTAAGGTCTGGTTTCTTTGTATTTTTATAACTATCCAAGTCTGGTCTGGTCTGGTCTGGACTGGTCTGGTCTGGTCTGGACTGGTCTGGTCTGGTCTGGTCTGGGACAAATTACAGTCCAAGTAAAAACATCCTTATTCTTTTCCATGCAACAACCTTTAATGCGTTTTTAAACGAACACTTTTTCGACATATTAATGCCCAATGTTCTTGTCATTTATATCTATCCAACATTCAGGTCCATTAAAGTTCAGTTAACACACAACAAATCCGTCCCTATATATACCTGGCAGGTGTTTTGCAACAACACACGATACAATACAGTTAGCACATACGTTTTTAGCTAAATTTGCCTCTAGCTCTCTGAAAAAACATTAGTGTTCTACCTTTGTTTCAATTTGCCAGAACAATCAAACGATTATTCGTTACCCACCGTATCTTAGGAAACTATCACTGCAACGCTCCTTCCACCGTGAAAGGCAGCGGATACGTTTTAAGGAAATTGTGCGTTGCACAAGCTTTGGCTATTCTGTCCCTTCTCATTTTTGTTTTTCTTTGCTATTTTAAATTAATATTAATTAATTTCTTTGTTTTTCCGAACATACCCAACAATGACTAGATTTCGATAAAAACTACTAGTCATATATTAGGAAATGTGAGTATTTGTAGACTTGTAGATTTGAAGTGCTATCTTGGATAATTATTTCCTTAAAGCTTCAATTTTAAAGTTGTGTTGCTTAAATATTTGAAAAGGTAAACTTGAATATATACTCTAGGACTAATGACTTAATAAGGATGTGATATGGGTTCCACAAAGAAAGGATGTGATATGGGTAGATTTTAAATTTTATTTCTCATCATATACTTTCCGTCTGAATTCCGATGTCCAAATCAACTTCGGAAACTGAGATGACGTTCTTGAATCACAAACTATACCCATTTGTTATTTCTAATATTGAGCTTAGTCATGCTTTGTGAGATGTCAGCACAATATGGATTTATATGAATATGAAATTGAAGATGATGTGAACTTTGGTGTCTAAGCTGTATGTTTAGAGTTTTTATTAAATATAATCTTATATGCACAAAGTTTTCTAATGTACAGCCTCAACAAATTTGATGAGGACTAATAATACCATTAATACGTAGTACTTGGTACTACATCTAACACTTATTCAATTCAATTTTAATTCAGTGTAGTTTTTAAATGAGTACAAATTATGTGGTTGCTATTTTTAATTTTTAAGAAGAAGAGCTGAAGAGACTATCTATATCAACCACATAATTCTAAGTGGAGATATTTAGGAAGAGGCAAATAAAAGAAAAGGGTATACGGAGTACTAGAGATAAAAATATTATGTCTGATCCAGTCTGTTTAACTACAGTAACTATATACTGTATTGTTATCATCACAACTGTTTTGTTGGAAACGAAAAAAAAAAGATCCAACTACTTGTTGATCCAAATATCCAATCCTTCCCGCAAATGTTTTGACTAACGCTAGACATAAGTAGGTGAAAATTGTATGATAATGCTTCTGTACATGTGAGAAAAATAGTACACACTACGTATTGTTTCTTAAAAAGTTGATATTGCTGGACAGAGGAGTATTTCAAAACCATCCTTTACTACCAGTCTACCACACTCCATAAAAAAGCATATTATTGTTACCTGTGATTGTAGCAACTTTTATATTGTTCAGGTTGGCAAAAAGTCCTAATAATGATCAAACAGGAACGGAGTCCTTTAAAAAAACAGGAACGGAGTCCTTTAAAAAAGGGCAGACTACAGTTTTGGTGGCAGGAATCATCAAAGAGTGGGTGTAGATGGGGGTGCAGCAGTCTTCTTGAAATCAATTTTGTCAACCTTGACTTCTCCATCAATGAGTTCATAGACGTATACCACTACGCGGAGACCATCAATGTCCATCAGAACAAAACTAGGGTTGACATCATAGGTGATGCTACTATGTGCCCCAGTCGCAGAACCAGGGTTGATCACAACTCCGGCCTCATGTTTGTATGCCTTAAACTGGTGGGTGTGCCCACTCACCAATATGTCCACATCTAGCTGCCTCTGCACCATGGCTAGTGAGTCCAGATCTCCCCATGGAACTACCTTCACAACCACACCACCAACATTACAAACTATTAGACAGCCATATCTATCTTTAGTGCACCACAATAAAATATACCCGATTACATAATAAACTATGTGCTTCTTATGTCACATTCACATTTCTATTCACCACCCTTCACATACCAACAACAATCTGATTTTATAATGCTGGCTTAATTTGATGATAAGTAAAAGATCAAATAGTTCAAAATTTCTTTTGCAGAGACTTTCGCATAGCAAAGTTTGCGTAGTAGAGAATCACTTGGAAAGGAAAGAAAAATGATCAGCCACAATTCCTTTTCTTAAAAGAAATGTGGCTTATTCGGAAAAAATGAAGTTTATTGTCAACTTTTTCATGGTGAAATGAGTAGAAAATAAAATGCATAAGTCACATACTTTGGCTGAGATGAGAGCAGAGATAGCACTCCTACCATCTTGGTTTTCCACACTTACTCTTGCCTTTTACGCAAATAACTAAATAGTTTTTCCACATTCCCTTTTCAGTAAATAAGGACTTGCGATGGGACACAAAATGCTCAATTTTCATGTTTATTTCCTAATTATTCAAATTAACACCAAGTCTACCCTTGTTTTAAGTATCCCTATCATAGTATCATGTATCCTTAAAAACATATGTTACCCCTACTTGAAAAACTAATAATATTATAAACACGTTTTATTTAATAATATCAATAACCCAGCCTATTCAGCAGTTTAAGCAATACTTTTAGCAAATTCAGTCCATTTAACAGTTTCAGTCGTTTAAGTAACTGTGTGAATGATGTATACTCCGTATAAGACAATATGAAGTTTTTTGTAAGACAATTCGATGGATGTGGGGTTTATGTAACTCTGTGAATGATGTAAGTTTAAAAAAGTCAAATAGCATCAGCAACAACCTTCCAAGTTCCAACACTTCCCATAGTGCAAGAAAAAACTCAATAAACTTAAACAGATCAAACCTGATGACCATGACAAAAACCAAGTTTGAATTGTCCAATGGTAAGAGTCTTTGTCTCTGGGTACTTAGATTCTTCATCGTACTCACCCCTAGTTATATGCAAGCTGGGGCATAAACTCTTTAAGTAATCATGAACTTCCTGCATGCGAGAATTTTCATAATCAAAGCTCAGCAGAGTTCAATCTGCAACAAGAGATCTACTCCTGTCTTTGTCCAAAAAAGATTCCGAATAAACACACTCCAGTCAACAACAATGCAAGGCCTTAGTTAATTAATGCAACTCAGACTGAAAACAATATGTACAATATGTGAATCACTAATAACATATAACTTCATCTACATGGTACAAAATGAAAAAGGAAAGTCAGTTCTTGTTCCTAAAAGAAGTTAGCACACTTCTGATTAGGATCCTAACTTTTGGTGCCACTGCTATAAATATTACTCCCTCCTACTAAAAAATTACCGTTGTATGCGTGTGTTGTCCCAAAAAAATAGCCCGACTTTTAATTCAGATTTAACTTCAAAGTAAGATTCATGTAAAACCAGGAGGCAATCAGTCTTAAGGATTAGCTTAAACAGCACTCTTTAAATAACGTCTTGGTGACAAATGAAAAAAAAATAAGGGTATCTAAAGCAAGAAGCCTTGACTCTTATTTGAATTGATGATAGGAATAAGGACAATAATACTAATAAGAATAATAGAATAGTACTCCCTCCGTCCCCTTTATATTGTCCCAGTTCCTATTCACTTGGTCAACACAAATCACTCTTAATTTCTTACTTTATATATCAAAAATTTATCAAATTTGATTCAGGTTTTTGCGACTTTGTAAAGCTTTTAGTGCAGTTTCTGAATATGTAATTTTTTTCCTAAAAATAATTTGAGTACGGACAGGGATCCGCTTGCTTTATCGTCGGTCAAACATCGTAAACCGTAAAGGGACAATAAAAAGGGAGCGGAGGAAGTATTAAAGAGTGTAATAGTGTATTGGTGAAGGTTCTGGTACATTTCATAAATCAGGAATAATCCCCCCCCCCCCCCCCCCCGTAAAATAGAAGTACTATAAGAGTAGGGAAAGGGAGAAAAAGAGGGGAGGCTGTTTTAGACAGTTAGAATTGAAGCTAGCTGCATCTTCAGATTTGGAACTAGATACAAGTTATGGTATTATAAAGCAGCCTATGGGATATCCACAAGAAGATCCGGAAGAAAACATGACACACCAAGAAAAGAAGATAGATGACAGTGGAAGGTGTAGTCTTGCTGCCTTGAGGTTCCAACTGGTGAGAACAGTTTATATGCATTTGCAGCAAGCCCTGAGAATTTTCCAGACTTTATATTTTTCCTTGATATTGCAATTAGAAAGTCAATTTTAAGGACTGAAATTAATTAGGTGCAAGAGAGTTTAATTGGGACAGTTGCATGCAAATAGAAGTGTGGTTTATCTGTTTCTTTTGCTGTTGTACACCGGGATGGAAAATGTCCAAGTACCCTTGTTTCAACTACCAACTTGGAGGGCCCTGGCACTCTTGAATTTGCCAGAACTGTACCCTGTACATTTCTTCTGTGAATATTGAATAAACATTCAGTTTCCTTGATTGTGTTGTTAGCTAAAAAATCTAGAATTGTTAGTTTCTATCAGTTGACTAATGTAAAAGGTAGTACCCTTACTCGTTTTTTGGGAAGGTAGAAGTACATGGACCTTTCAGCATGCTTTAGTGGGAAATCAAGAAAGATCTTACCACAGCCAATCAAATCAGCATAGATTAAAGACCCATTAGTCCATTACCTAGTGTGTTCAATGTGTATGATAATGCAGAGGATCACATTAATGTTTCGTTTAGCAGATCTTAGTGTAGATTTACATACTAAATGTAAAGTATAGACAATAGGACGAATCTTTGTCGATCCTCATATTTGGCCATATGAAGGTTTTTCTGAATGCAGTCTATGAAAAATATAGCTTCCAAACTTCCAATTCAATAATTAATCTGTAGATAAATAGTCAAATGCCGACTATGTTTTCAAATTTAAAACTTCAAAATTTGCCAGGAAACTTAAACAGCTGTTGCAGCATCCATAGCCTTGCCAGCAATCTATTTTTTTAACCCGGCAGGCAAACCACCGCAATCTATTTTCAAAATAGAGATAAGAGATGTTCTTATTTTTTCTGAATAAATCCCTAATAGTTATAGCCTCGGTTATACATTGCCTAACAAATTCCATTATTTCTTAACAGTAGATGATGCAGAGATGATACTCCATTCATAATGTCAAAATTAATTTGTTTTCACTTGAATATAATGCCACTACACAAAAGGCACCCATATACCCTAATAGATACATATGGCAGTTGATCCCCCGAAAGAGGCAAAGATGGTCGACTGATGTTCAAATTCGGCCAGGTCCAGAACTGATCACTTCTTCTCTAATAATAATTAAACAGTTGCAAACAAGATTGAATTTAAAAAAATTGATAAAAATAGAAATGCGCGGAATGTACTTTGATGCAGAGATTTCCAGTACAGATTATGTGCTGAATCTTTCCTGGGACGAGCATCGACTTGAACTTCGCCGGAAGATCAGCGGCTCTGTGAGGTATGTGCAGATCTCCGATCGCTAGAACCAACACCATTCTAGACTTCTAGTTTTTAATCCTCTCCACTCAATCTACAAATGTGTAGTTTTGATACCCCGAAACTCGATATCTCGAAAGCGGATTGGTACAAACCCGGCGAAGTAATTCCAATTTCGAGGTGATTCGATCTACTAAAAAAGAAAGTATGAACGGAGTTGTATTTTCTTTAGTCGATGTGGATCGGGGAAACTACTAACTACTACTCCGTACGTAATAACCATTTTTCGAGGGGAAAAACTACTAACGAGAATCGCGACGCCGAATCGCCGATGTACATACCAAGTGGTCAGGTGCGCAAGCCCACAAGAGAGCTGACGAGGGAAGTGACTGATACCAAATAAATGAAGAAATAATTACATAAATATGATGAAAATAAAGATGATTTACAAAAATATGATTAATTACTAAAGTAGTAATGAAATCATAGTAATTCATGTTCAAGTTTTGAACTTAAGTTACCACAACACTACGTTGTAGTAATGAATAGTCATATTTATGTAAATAAGTTTTATTTTAGTAATAATTTTGTAAAAACCCATAAATCAATGTAAAAATAAATAAATTTCATTATTTATTCTTTTACATTTTGCTGTTAAAAAAAAAAGAATTTAGTTGGGGGTTTATGTCTTCCAACAATTATTATTTGCCCTATTATTATGTATGTTGTCCACGCTTTCCATTCTTAACATGAGCTTCAAAAACTATGTCTCTGATTTGTATGAAAGAACAACTTTACACTTTCTCTATCTTAAAATATTCGGTTTAAATGGATTAAAATTGTTGTGGGTAATTTTAATATTTAAAACCCGACAATTTTAAAAAAGACTGTGTTATGCATTCAACTTATAACTGCGTCTCTCTCTCTAGGGTTCGGCTCTGCCGTCTCTAGTGTAGCTTTGGCCTTTTCCCGATTTGCTTCGCCTCAGCCGCAGTAGTAAGGCAGGGATGAGGAGAGGAGGTGGGTGCTGGTGGCGTGCTCGGTTGCTTTCGAGGATTTGGGTGCAGCAGTTGGCTTCGTTCGGCGTCTGCGTTGATTGAGGCTTTGTCCGACAGACAGGTAGGGGGGAGACTTGCTTTTGATTCTCTAAATTTATGGAGGAGGTGTTGGAACAATACAAAAGAATGGCTTTGGAAGAAGATAACAACAATCTCAATTTTGATGATGATGAGGAGGATGTTCTTGCTCCAACCGCAAAAGGGTCGGAGTTCCCGCTGGTGGGTGTAATTCTTACAGATCGGAAAGTCAGAACTCAGGCTGTGTAGGATCTGTTTGCCTCAATCTGTAGGCCAGGAAAAGGAATGTCAACCCAAGAAATAGATGACACGAGGTATTTATTCACTTTTTATCATTTAGTTGATATGAATCGTGTTCTCGAGAATGGTCCTTGGCTGTTTGAGAGGAATTTGTTACTGCTTAAGGCGGTTGGTCCTAATGATATCCCACATAAAATGAAATTGGTTGAAGCAGAGTTTTGGGTACAAATGCACAATGATCCATATAAATTTATGAATGTATGCGCGCACTGCTAGAAGAGTGGGGAATTATATTGGGGAATTTATTAGTTTTGATGAGAGTCATTTCAAGGAAAAATGAAATTCTTACTGGAGGGTTAGGGTGAAGATGGATGTGACAAAACCCCTAAAGAAGGGATCTACTTTGTCAAGGGGGGTGAGGGACACTGGGTAGATTTTAAGTATGAGAAGTTACCTAATTTCTGTTTCATTTGTGGGATAATGGGACACTCTGAGAAATTCTGCCCGTTGAAATATGTGAAAGATATTGCCATGGAAAAAACCTTTAGTGTTGAACTTAGAGCAGGGGGACTAGCCCCACAAGGAGTAATAAGTGGTTGGTGGAAAAACAGGTAGGTCTAAGTCAACAGAGGAGGGTTTATCAAGAAGATGAACGCATGATGAGACATGGGCGCAAGGGGACTACAGTCGAGACAGAGAATTGTGGTACAAAGGAAGATGGTAGAAGCAGTGTAGGGGAGGTATCGGTTGATCAGAAGCGCATGAGAGTCTGGGAGGATCCAACACAGGAAGACATAGCAGGAGAGAAGATGGCACTGGACAAAGCAAAAAAACGGGGAGGAGGCGGGTCTGAGCTCTTAGACCCGCCTGTCGCGTGCGTGAGGCTGCTGTTGAAGAATTTTCATTTTGGTAATTATTTTATTGTTATTTTGCATTTTAGTTTCCATGTTAAGACAGTTACTTTTGGTTTTTGTTATCGTTGGATTTGTAAGACTCTTGCATTAGGATTGAGTGATGAGAGTTCTGCGGTAACCATCGTTGGCTCAATTATGCCCAGTTTAGGATCAGCGAGTTATATTGCTTTTTCAAAGGTGATTAACTCAGAGTCTGGTTCAAGGGCGGATGGTTATTGGTGGTGCTTTTGTTATTTTAGACCCTTTCTGAATGCTTTAATTTTAATATAAGCCCCCTTCTTCCTAAAAAAAAGCCAACAATTTTACACTATCCTCCAAATATTGTAAAAGCCAACAATTTTACTAGTATTTAAAAAAATCTACTTTATAAAAATCAGTATGAATATCTTCACGATTTTATTAGTACGAACATTTATTTTATTTTATTTTATATGGAGTAGAATTTAAAAACATTTAACAAAATAGTCACATTTAAAATATTTATACTAAAAACAAATGGATTTATATGTGTGTGCTCGTGTAAATGTACATGTGTTATAATGATAGTGGTAGTACTTATATAAAAGATAAAAGAAATACATTTAAGTTAAATATATATACTTTTAAATTCATATCCTTATTAGTCATTTTACATCTGCACAACTTATCGCAAACATCTAAGTTACTAAACATTTTACTTCAAAGCGCTAATGAAAACGGTTGGTTAAAACATCGAACATAATCAGTTAGTATTAATCTGCTAATTAAACCGGCTATCAGCTAGCAATCAACCGTTGATGGTCAATGCAAAACACCCTCGTTGACATTTGTAGACATCCACTCTTCATGATAAAATTACAGTAGAGAAACTAAAAATGTCAATTCCACAATATTTAGGAGACTAAATGTCGAGAATTCTAAAACCACGGACTAAAAATGTCTGACTGACAATTTGTCGTTAGAGCTTTGTTTTCTTACCAATTTGTTTCTAGAAGTTCTTTTTACCAATTTGTTTCCGAAAACCCAACACAAACTTTGGATATTTGGGACGATGGGTCAAGTGTAAAAAGGTGCATGAAATATAAAATGTGAATAAGATGCACTCAAAAGCCCGCTTGTATTAGGGTAATACGCTGATTACTCAAAAGAGGCCGAACATCGCTCTGAAACAGTGACTAATACAATAGTAAGAGAGAGATAATCTAAGACTCTGAGTATCAAAATGCTAACCCCCTACAATGAAGTAAATGCTCCTATTTATTCTAGGAAAGGGGGTAGGTGAGGTGACGATGTGACCGAATCCGATTAGCTGTTGCCTTTGCCACTTGAGCACCCATGCCTCCACTTGCTACCGTCATACTCTAGCATTAAATGCAGCTTGCCACTTGTGGACTCCCCGATCGATCTCTGGCTCATGGATAGAGCCGATGTCTGTTATTTGTTCTAAGTAGGATAATTGGGCCATTCAGGTTGTCCCGAATGGTGTCCTTCCTTTGGTGGCCGATTGCCTGTTCGGGCTTCCTTGAGTCTGGACCAAGTTCCCCTTTGGGCTGGTTCTCAACCTTGGGCCCTTACCTATTCTGGGCCGGGTATTGGGGCGAAGCCCCATAACCCAACACTACATTTGTTGCTTAAAACATTGCCATTTTTTCTTTTCACGTCAATTATCGTAAAATTTGAACCATAATTTTCAACAAGTAATAAAAAAGTTATGGAAAAAAATTGACTTAATAACGTAACTTTTAGTAACTATAAAAGTTACTTCATCCGTTCTCTTTTAATTGCAACAGTCAACATTTCACGTTTGCCAACGCACAAGTTTGACCATTAATATATTTCATTCCTTATTAGTAAAAAAATTTAAAAATTCATATTTTGAAAATCTAGAATGAGAAGAATTTAACAATATTTTTGAAAAATTTAATTTATAATACATTAATTAATAAAATATAATCAAAGTGGAATATGTGAATAGTGCAAAAAGTTCAATGTTGCAATTAAAAGAGAACGGAGGTAGTATTATTTAAGGTTTATTAAGAACCCGAAACCTAGACGGGAGTTCAACAGACGCAATAGGCACTGCCACTTAGGCTTTAGGTGGACAACTCCGCCATGGAGATGAAGATTGTGGCGATCGATATTTCGTCAGTCAAAGAGGAGGAGGAGGACTGCATTGTCCTCGATTCGCATCCTGTCTCTAGGGTTTCACCACCGCTAGAGTTTTATATATTTGTCCGCTGTCGTCTTTTGGCGAGGAGCGGTGTCGTCTTCTGGCAATTCGTTCGTGGATAGGGAGATTCGGCTGGAGGCGCCTCAAGGGCCGATTAAGGCAATGAAGGAAGAAGATGAAGTGAAGGCAGTCTGACCCCCTCTTGAACCGCCGTCGGGGGTTGGAAGGTTGAGTGAAGAAATTTATTTTTTGCTTTTATTTATGTTAATGGTCTGAATTTGTCTGTGTTTGTATGTTGTTTTATCTCTTTCAATTGTAAGATTGTGGTTTTGGATTTGGATGTGAGTGATGGAATGATTGTGGTAACCGTCTTTGGCTCATTTGTGCCCATTAATGGATCAACGAGTTATATTGTTGTGGAGATAAACTCTGAGTCTAGTTCGAGGGACGCGGTTGTTGGGAGTTGTTTTGTCGGATTACCTACTATCTGAATGATGTGTCATCTATGTCCCCTTTCATCCAAAAAAATAAAAGTTATTATTTAGAATACCAATCAGTTATTTTTTAGAACACCATTTAGAATAGCAATTAGTAACTTTTTAGTTACTAATTAGGATACCAGTTAGTAACGTAAATTAATTAAAAAAACTATTAGAACAATCAACCGACTTCAATGATAATGGAGTGCATTCACAAAAAGTTCAAAGAATTCAAACTTCAACACAATTTCATCAAAAGAATAAATAGTGATTGATGACGGCTCTATATGATAAATACATGTAACTTGAGGCGTCACTATTACATTTTTAATGACGACGGCTCTATCTGATAAATACATCTAATTTGAGGTGTCACTATTACATTTTTATGTTTAGTTTAATGATTTAGTTTGACCTTATTATTCATTTATTTAGGTTTCTCATTTTCATAAACAATTTCTTTTAATATTCGTTACTTATAATTTATTTTGTCTCCATTAGAGTTATCATCTTCAACAATTATCCTATTCAAA